CTAGACTACAGACTAGACTATAGACTAGACTATAGACTAGACTATAGACTAGACTATAGACTAGACTATAGACTAGACTATAGACTAGACTATAGACTAGACTAAAAAGTATTTTACCTGCAATTGCTATTTCAAAAACGTAAGATTTGACGAGAAAAACGTCAAATTGGCAGCACTGGTTTTAACCCATTATGTTCCAAATCCACAAAAAAATTTTGTTACAGTTTTAACAAAAAAGTCTTTTCAGTAGTTCTAAAACGATGATATGCATAAAACTGTTTTCATGATGTATTAAAGTTTTGAGTTAAAATTGTATTTCATTAGTTTAGAAAAATACTATAGAAAAAACTCACTCTTACACGTTTTTAGCAGTTGAGAAAAATAAATTTTAATAAAATAATACCCACCGTATAGATAATGTAACATGAACCACTACTACCGAAAGAGGCGTAAAATTCACACAAAAAAAGAGAAAAATTGTTCATATAGAAAATAAATGAATATTCAGTGAAAGACGAGTATACGGAGTACAAGTATGTGGTTCGTATTACTAACGTGCGCCACATTTTTTACATAAAACCTACTACACAGAAAAAAATATGCACATTTTTTTTCTTAACAATCGTTTGCTTAAATTTAATTTAGATTTTTATAAAAATTTTTATTTGGTTTTATAACGAATTTGTTTGATTTTCACGCAGAAGGAAAATATTTTCTAACAAACACTTTATTGAAATAAATTTAATTTTCAGTAAATATTTTTACTGGTTCAATAAATGTTTTTGTTTGAGTTTTATTTATATGTCAGCATATAAAATACAACAATAAAACTAGTTTTGGAATGTACTAAAATGAATTGATATAATTCTTACTTGGTTTATAACATTTAATGTATAAGTGTTTCAGTTTTCACAGTACAAATAATAGTTTCTAGAATGTGAAATAAATTTGTTGTAAGTATATAAGTACTTTTTTCTACAAATTTTAATTTTATAGAATTAGTAAAATTTTTGTTAAAATTCAATATATATTTTTTAACAAAATTTTTATAGATTCAATAAGGAATTTTGTGTATTATTATTGCCAAAATACAATAAATAATTTATCTGTTTCGGAAAAAATAATTGCTTGAATTTCAGTACAAATACAAATAATTTGCGTTATTGTTTAAGTAAAATAATTGTTTGGAAATGTTGCGAATATTTATTAATGTTTTTCGTAAATAGTATATTATTTTAATAAGAAAAATCCTGAAATTTTTTCAATAAAGAATTTACGAATTTGAGTACTTGATTTTACGAATTTCGTGATAGGTCCAATTTTAGTTAAAAAAATACTTGGCTTTATGAATTTTTTGTTTGATTTTGAATTTCATTTTTTTCTGTGTACAAACACTAACTCACTCACATACATACAACAGATTCAAACTTGCATAAAAATATGAAACATTGACGACACAATGATGAACAACGAGCAACATGTTGTTGATAAAAATCTTTGTTTTTTTTTCGGAATAAAAAAACCCAACGCCAACAATAAGAATATGAAGAATGGAAAAAAGAAATATGTTTGCCGCTTTTTCAACTTTATTTGTAAAAATGTTAGCAACCATAATATTTTAACTGGAAGGACAGACATTTTAAAGTTTGGATTCTTTATTCGAATACAAGATTTTGTAAGAGAAAGCAAATTGAACATCGTTAAATATTCTCCCCCCATTTTGGTCTATTTATAATTTCGAGACTTTCAAATTGGGACTACATTCTGAACTTTAGTTTTTCGATTGGAAAAATCTAGTTTACGATGCGAAATATTACACCACATTATATCAGTTTTGATAGCATGGCCTTGAAAGATATGCTAAAAAGTAAGTTTATCTTTCGGTGTTTCCGAGAACTGTAACTGTTAGAAGGATATGTGAGTCAACTTGTATGCTATCGATCTTCCAATGACCTTGTCATTAGGCTTAAAGAACCTATTGGCTTGTATATTGCTTGTAGTTCTTATTATTTATAATCGTTGACGCCGTATGGAAATACGGGCCAAATTATTGCATTTGAAACCGATCGAGATCGCAATTTAAATTCTATTGAGATTTTGATCGATATCGATTGCACTTATTTAATTAATATTCATCTTATAAGAGCAAACACCGAAGACAAACAACATCCATACGACCATCTGCTGCAACAGTAACGAAACTTCTCGACGCCGGCTGAGAAGAATATATGTACTAAGGCTTATACTTATCAGTAAAAACCGTTAATAGCGTATGGCAGCCAGACATTGTATTCCTGATCAGAGGAACACCTCGCATTTCTCCAACATCAAAATTATCTCGCAGTCATAGTTCCATGAAGTAGTATTGACTCAAATCAACAGAAAAATGTAGACAATAGTTTTCTTCCTCCTCCGTCCTCGTCAGAGGAACACCTCGCATTTCTCGATATAAGGATGGGAGAGACCAGCATAACCTTAATTCCATCCAGTATCATATACACTTGACACCAACTCATTTCCACCGCTTAGTGCCACAGTCAGTTCGTTCGCCCACAACAACGAACTCTTCCAGAATTAAAGACTTTAACACTGTATCAGTCTTTTAACCAACATTCTCTTCCCGCGAAGGGACCTCTCCAATAACCGAGACAAGTCCCAAACTCTGCTTGTGGATTATCGGTTTCCGGGGTATTAGTTTATGGTCCCGGTAGAATAGAGATATTGGTAGCACCTCTTTTTCCCCGGATTACAATAACACCAATATTCCGAGAGCTTTAATTCTAGTCATTGCTTAAACTTAGTTTAACATATCTAGCGAGGTCTCACCGTTAATTAAGTCCTTCCAAGATCTGCACATTTAAATGTTCTCACTTTCTACTTCAACTCGTATGTCTATCTTCTCTGTTCCTACTGTCTGTCAGTCATTTATTCATTTTCATCATCTTTTACCACTTTTTTCATTTCCAGCTCTATGGTAACCATCAAGTGAGTAACCTCTTAACGAATGCTCTCTAATGTTCAAAGTAAATAAACACTTTTTATACCCTACACCACTTTAGTGGGGAGGGTATATTGGATTTGTGCTGATGTTTGTAACATACAAAAATATTCGTCCTAGACCAACCTTAAAGTATACCAATCGGCTTAGAATCGTTTTCTGAGTCGATTAAGCTATGTCCGTCCGTCCGTCTGGCTGGCTGTCCATGTAAACCTTGTGCGCAAGGTACAGGTCGCAATTTTCAAGATAATTGGATGAAATTTGGCACGCACGTTTTATTTGACCCAAGGACGAAGCCTATTGGAAATGGTTAAAATCGGTCCATTATTTCACCTAGCCCCCATAGAACAGGTCCCCCCGAAAAGGGCTTCTGAGCTCATAATTATGCTAAATATACAGATATATCGATAAAATACGGCACAACTAAGTTTTATAGAAGTCTTGATGACCCTGCCAAATTTCATAAAGATCGGGCCCCATCTGACCCTAGCTCCCATACAAAGTCCCCTTCAGAAAATTACTTGAATGTCCCAAATTAACTTATAAACACAAATATCGCGATGAAATTCAGTACAATAAAATATTATGTAAATATAAATATATCCACAAAATTTTATCGGGCTTGGTCCATATTTGCCCCTAGCCCCCATATAAAGCCTCTTTCAGAAAATTAGTTTTTCATCCATAAATTGCTTAAATGTATCGGAACAAGGGAATATTGAAGATAAATGCTTTATTATGAAAAATAAATCACATTTAATATTCATAACTGGTGTAGGGTATCATATGGTCGGCCACGACCGACTGTACTTTCTTACTTGTCTTTATTTTACTTTTGTTTTTGTATTTGTTAATGTTTTGTTGTTATTCAATTTTATTATTAAGTACTTAAATAAAAAGAATAAGTTTCATTAGATGTAGAGGTAAAGTACATTACATGTACATACATGTAAACAGAATATGTTCAACAAATAAAATCATATAAGAAAAATTTAATAAGACAACAAAGAAATTACACACATTAAAAAAAGTATTCTTATCGTTAAATTTTAATAGAAAAAATATTGTATAATAAAATAACACAATACACAAACAACACCAGCCAACTTCTCATAATAAAGTTCATGGCAGTAATGGAAATTTGTATGTATGTTTGGTTGTTGATTTGGTATGAATGTGTTTGATATTCTTGCTGATATGACAGGGTTTTTTGATAGAGAGTTAAAGAAAAGCACTTTAAATTGTATAAACAACAGCAACAACAACATCATCAGCAACACATAACAATTAAAAATAAACAAATGAAAACATAAACAATCTTACACACATCCTTGCCAGTGTTGCCAACTTAGTGCTTTTCACACTATTTATGGTGCTTTATGAAACGTCATACGCGAAAATTTTTTCTTGTAGTGCCTTTTTACGGAAAGGCACTATTATGGTGCTTTTCAAATTGCATCACAGCGCTTTCAGTGCTTTTTGTCCCAATTTTTTTAAGTGTAAAATTTACAACGCGATATGGTAGCTTACTAAAAAATTTTAAAGAAATGCTGTGTGGCATCTTCAGCAAAACCAACGGTACTTTAAAATGTGATACAAAGAAGAAAAAGAAAATCAACAGCGTTTGGGAAATAATAAAAAATATACGTACATATAAAATAAAAAGTAAGAATTCTTACTTTAAATAATTTAAACAATTTAATTAACTTATATGTGTGCTTGTGTATATATCTATACATATTTTTTATAATAGAAAAATATATTGACAAGTAAGTATTTGTTTCCATTATTATTGATATTTGTGTTAATAAAAAAATATTTGTAGATGGACCGATCACTTCAAAAATATCGTCAAGTTTGGGAAAATGATCCTATTTTCAAAAAGTGGTTACGTCCCACAAAGGATCCATTGAAGGCGTCATGTTTTTATTGTCATTCAGAAATTTCTGCTCGTTATAGTGATTTAATCCGGCATTCAGAAACAAAAAAACACAAAAAGTCAATGCAACCGTTCAATGGAGTTTTCAGTGTCCAACCAGAGCTGTCATTTTCTTCAAAAGAGGTGTCAGAAAAACAAAAGGCTCAAGCTAGACTTTCCCTTTATGTTGCAGTTCATTCATCGTTTTTGAATGTTAATCATCTAGGTGAAGTGTGCAACTCCGAGTTTTCTGATAGCAAATCATCACAATTCCAATTGCATCGTACCAAATGTTCTAACATTATTAATAATGTCTTGGCGCCTCATTTTATTGACGATTTATTGAAAGATATTAAAGATGAGTATTTCAGCTTGATTTTGGATGAAGGCACCGACATATCTGTGGAAAAACTTTTGGGGGTAGTAATAAGATACTACAGTTCATCAAAAAAACAGTTTGTCACAACTTTTCTTGGCCTAATTGATTTGGTGGAAGGCAATGCAGATGCTTTGTTGGAGGGCCTTGAACGATTAATTAACAATATGGACTTAGATTTTAAAAAACTTGTGGCCATTGGCACAGACAATGCCTCCGTCATGACGGGCATAAATAACGGCTTATATAAAAAAATCAAAACAAAATATGAGCTAAATAATTTAATTTTAATTCGCTGTGTATGCCACTCGCTTCAATTAGCTGTATGTTCTGCGACTGATAAATATTTCCCAAATAATTTGGAATTTTTAATAAGAGAAACTTACAATTGGTTTTCACACTCAACGGTTCGGCAAAAAACCTACGTGAAAATATTCAAACTCCTCAATGGTGATGGGGTGAATCCCAACAAGATTCCACAAGTATCTAACACTAGATGGCTATCAATTGAAAAGGCGGTTAAATGTATTTTGAATATGTGGCTGGAACTTAAAACACATTTTAATATTCTTAAGGACAATGGGTATGTTTCACTTTTACTTAAGGATATGTACAATAATAATAACAATTTTGTATATCTCACGTATTTAAGTTCCATTTTGGGAGAGGTTCAAAGGGTCAATTTAGCATTTGAAGCAAAAAATGCAGACCACGTTAAGTTGTATAATGATTTGTATAGATTGCTACAAAATCTGACTAACAAACTGATAATAAATTGTGAAAATTTTAATTACATAGAAGGTGATATAGATAGTAATTATAATGAATTTTGCTACCTTGGTTATAGTTTTGAAAAGGCCTGCAATGAATACCAAATAACAGAAACCGAAAAAAATATTATTAAACAAAAATGTGTTCTTTTCACTAAAAACCTTATTTATGAAATTATAGCTAGACTTCCTAGCAATTTGCAAATTTTACAAAAAGTTTCCTTATTCAGTGTCGAAAATATATTAAATAATATAAATAAGGATCAGTTAATAGAATTTATAAGCAACTTTATAAATGATGTAAATATATTATCAACAATAGAAACTAGTTTAGAAAATTTAAGGAATGCTTATTGGGAAAACAAAACTAGAACAGATCTTTTTTGGATAGAGGTTAGTGAATTTAAAGACTCGTTAGGAGAAAAGCCATTTTTAGTATTAGCACAGTTTGTTCTTCGGATATTAAGTTTTCCTTACTCTAACGCAGAGGTTGAGAGAGTTTTTAGCTCCATGAATTTATCAAAAAATAAAATTCGAAACCGACTATCATTAAACTCTGTTAATTCGATTTTACACATAAAATATGGACTACGTAGACTCAATTTTTGCTGTAATAATTATGCAATACCTTCCGAGGTCTGCAAAAATATTTCTTCAAACAAAACTTATATAAAGTCGAAGTATTATTTAAAAACAGTATTGTGGCCGAACGTGGTTGAGGAGGAGGAAAATGCAGATGATATCAGCGAAATATTTGTCGAAGATTTAAGTAACATTATTTAAAACCTTTTTAATAAGGAATAAAGGGTCGTATACCCATATAATTTAAACATTTTAAAATTATAAATGTTAATTTTATAAACTATACTGACATTTTTATATGAATTGTTTTCTTTTGTTTTGTAACTATATTTTATTTAACCATAATATTTAATTATCAAATAAAGAATATTATAAAGTAAAAGTTTTATAAACGAGTATTCTTACTAAAAAACGGTAGTGCATTTTTAACCTTTTTAAACTCAAAAAATACGCTTTTTTACCCGTTTTTTAATTTTATGTGCGCGTTTTAATATACAATCGCTGGCAACACTGATCCTTGCTTACACGCCGACACAAAGCATCCAGCAGTAACCAGCAACAACAACAACAACACCAGCAGCATTAATAATACGTGTCGTATACGTTTTCTTTTTCAATTAAACTTGGTTGCCAGACTAATGTGAGTATATTTGTGGCCATCACAGTATGTATTATATTTATGCCCGGAAATTATGAACCTTAAACCTAATGGGCATCTTCCGAATTTCTTTAGAAGAGAGTTCTATCACAATTGTAGTTATGGAATCTTGATGACAGTAAATATTGAAAACAAGTCCTTAACTAATAGTGTAGTTTTTGAATCGCCAACCCTGTCATGTTCGGCTCTTATTTAAGAGCAAACAGTCAGTGGCAAGTCAACTCATTCCTTAACGAAACTTTCGGAATGCTATTAAGTTCTTTTAAGGGAAAAAGAGACAAGTCAACCTATTAACTTCTGGTAGTATCAGTCAAGATCGGCAATCAATGTCTTCAGATTTTGCAGTGACTCCTGATTACCCTCCATGAAAAAATGCATATCTTCAATGGAATAGATTTGAACTCCTAGAAAGGAATGGCGAAAGGCTGAATAATATAAATTGATGGAGTTTCCCAGTGCCCGGGGCTTGGGGATAGTTACCTTGATAAATCTACCCCCATTTTGGTGTTATTGCAATCCCGGGGAAAAGACGTGCTACCAATACCTCTAGTGTGCCGGGCCTATTAACTTGTGATGATCAAATGTATCATCGGTCCTTCCTTGGAATGATTTGACTTGGATTTGAACCAGAGAACCACATAATCTGCTACCACGAGAACCGCTATTCCACAGGGCGGAGTTTCGGACTTTGTCTTGTTCCGATTATAGGTATCTGCTACCACAGGTACCGCTATCGCGCAGGGCATAGTTTCGAACTTTGTCTTGCCCCTATTATAGGTAAATTATATAAATCGGGATAAGTTCGTTTCTGTTGCCGAGACAACAGATACTCCACAGAGGAGTGACTTTAGAATTATGTGTTGGAAATGACTTGGTATCAAGTCTATATGATATGGGATGGATGGATGAACCCATATACCTAGAGTGAGTGTGTCGGATGAATGAGAAGTGTGCTCTGTTGAATAGTGATGGATGTAGGGCATCTGATACAAGTGATAAAATTGAATTTTTCTTCCTTTTCCGGGTATGTTTCAGGGTTTACACTGTTCATATTAGATTTACCACAGTGAGTTCTCTGAGAGCAAGCTTATTTGATGAATTCGTACGTCTGAGCTATTGGCGAATCAACAGAGGCCCTCCCAACTGCGGAGTTGTAAACGGTAGAGATGTTTTTGCTTCCCGGAAGTTAAGCAAGGGAACAGCAATGGTCAGAGATTAGTAGTGCTTGTACATGGACCACAAGAACCGTGTATAAAAATTGCCACCCGCGTGTAACATACACAAAGAGGCGGTGGTGAGTTATTTGAAAAGCTCACCCTGTGGATGAAAAATATCGTCGTAAATAAGGCCGTCAAGGCAGCTGTTCGAGTAAAGCACCTCGACATCTAGTCTCTGGAGGTCATATGTTTTACCGGTTAAGTCATTTTATGTGTTCCCACTAGAATGAGGGTATGGGGTTCGAAACACCCTAATGGAAATTTTACCTGTAAGATTTTATTATGTTCAAAGTCTTTAAAGTCAAGATTATCCAGATCAACGTAAAAATCGGTTCTAAGTATACATCAATAAATATGGAGCCGAGGAAAACCGTCTAAACATCAAGGGTTTGAATTAGTCATTAATTAGCCAAACAATTTGTTTTAGTAAGACCTTTTATTACAGGAGTCACTGAAATCGCATTTAATTGGTCGATGTTCTAAAAGGCAACATAACCTAGACCAAGGATTCAGAATCGGAGTATTCGATAAAACATTCAGAAACGGAGTATTCGATAAAATGTTGAGTTTTGGTGATTTGTCTATATCTCAATGGAAAGTTACTCTTTCGGTTAAAATTCGATGAAAAGTTGAGTTTTCTATGAAAAGTTTTGGTGAAAAATCGAGTTTTCCATAAAAAGTTAAGTTTTTGATGAAAAGTTTGGTTTTCTAAAAAAAGTGGAGATTACGATAAAAAGTTGAGTTTTCGATGAATAGTAGATATATCCATAAAAGTAGAAAGTTTGATGAAAAGTTGAGTTCCTCTGAAAAGCCGTGGTTCAGATGAAAAAGTAATTATTCGATGAAAAGTAGATATTTCGAGAAAATGCTGAATTTTCGATAAATAATCGAATATAGAGATTTTTTATAAAAAGTTGAGATTTTAATAAAGAGTTTTGAATGAAAGTTAATGTTTTAACGAAAAGTATGTTTTCCATAAAATATCGCGTTAAATTAATGGGGGTTTAAATAACACCATCAATATAATTCGTTACGATATCCGCAATAGGACTAGCCTTTTCAAAACCATGCTCAGCACAGGATAATTGAGAAAACCGAGTGTCTTAAAAAGAAATTTTAAATACAGCTCCTTTGACGATTAATTTATCCACTAAAACTCATCTAAAACCTAAAAATCTGGCACTGATGACCATAAAAAGTACCACCACATGGTACAAATTGTTATACGTGTGTATAAGTATTTCTTTATTTATTTATATGTATGTTGCTTGTAATTCTCAAACAATTTTAATGTTTGTAAATTTAACATCATTCTCTTGATTAATTTCATCTGATAACAGGTACATTTTTCATTTTATTCTTTATTTAGTTTTTGTTCTTTTTTTCTTTTGGAACGTTTTTGTTTGCTCTATCTTAAAAAAGAACGTTGCATTCGTCCGTTAAAGAGTTTTATCGTATCGTGTGTGTGTGGGTTTTTTAAATGCATTTGTTTGTTTATTTAGCAGTTGTAGCGGGACGCATGCGCTCAAGGAGTTTTGCATTTTGCGGCATTTCTATATAATTGTTTTTATTTACTTTTTTTGTTAATTGTTTTATCATAATCATCATCATCATCATGGGGTTTTTTTATGACATTTCTTGTGAACTGTTGGCCAACTACTAGAACACGGCAACGACGACAAAGACAACAAACATTTGAATGGCAGAAGAAAAAAACGTGTTTAAAATAAAATTGTTAAGAAGTTCATGGCATTAGAAGTAAATTGGAGTATTAAAGAGGTTTTTAAAACAATTAATGGCGGCATTAGAAACATAAGGCTATGACTTTTGCGTTTGAAAACTAGTAGAAAAATTAGAAATGTGAACAGCGTTTGAAAGGGGTTAGAATTTTGAAGTTAATTTAATTAAATTAAGACTAATCATGTTTTTTTTTTTTTTTAAATATGCTTTAAGAAATTAATAAAACTTTATATTTTCAACAATTATTATGATAATTGTTGG